AACCTACAGCGGGTCAATTAGTTCTTCAAACGATACTTTTAAGTTAATTTTATAGTTTTGTGATATTAATAATGCTAATGTATTGATATTTTTCTAGTTTTGATTTAAATTTGCTTCGTCACAGTTCCTAGGTGACATGACGTACGCCGGGGTAAGGAGGGGAGGCTAGACCGTCCAAATTCACAGACTCTTTTTTTTTCGGTCTTCCCGGTCTACCAAGGACCCGGCCCGCCGCGACCGGGTAGTCTGGGTCCTCCGGAGGACCCGTCCTGTCGTTTTGGACACAGCCAATGTATTCTTTTCTCTCGCTTCGTCCGCCATTACTAGCATAAAAAAAATCTCAGGTCGGGCCGCAATGCATTATGGGATACGCTGGGCCGGGAAGGATCCATCRGACYAGTCCTTCGATTCGGGCCAAAGGAAGGACGTATTTGTTGGCCGCATCGGAGGAGTCTTCGGTTTTGGATGTCCTTCGTCGCGGCGCTGTGACGTATACGGCCGACAAATTCGACCTTCGGAGGACCCGGCCTGCCGTTTTGGACACAGCCTATGTGTGTCACAGGGCTTTCATTAAAGACCATGTTTTATCACTTCCTGTGTAACTGAGAGGAGGCTGACATTGACTACATTGATTTTTATTATCTTTTGCATTCAGACGTTCAAAAACACCCCATTAAATAAAGTTGGAGTGGTGTTTGGCAACCATATGCACAACACAAATAAACACTTCATTTGAAGGTACCATCAAAGGGGTTAGAAGAGCAAATATGCCCTTAGCTACATGAATTGAGATTAAAGTTCAGAAGACTGGCAGGTCACAAGTTCATGCTCCTTCACCTGGTTTAGTATCCACCATAAACCCTGCCTAAAATTTCCCTCTGGTTCTGGTCTTCGTACTTTTGGGGCTTGTGGTGGTAATCTTTGTTGWTGAGGTCAAAAGAAGAGTTTATAAACTTTGCCGTTTAAAAACTCATCAGTTCTGAAAAGTGTTGTGAAGTATTTACTTTGCGAAATGTTTTCTCAATCCACGAAGAACCCACAAATATATTTTTTAATATTTAATAATCCTGTTTTGCAGATTCTCTATTGTGTCCTTAGAGGGATGGCGATGTTCTTTTAAATGTTCTAGTCAGTACTTTTAGATGTTATCATAAGCACTTCACTTTAATCTGTGTCTAGTCTTTTAACAACTCTTATGAAACCATGGTAACAATGTAAACAARACCAGGGACTTTTGACGGTCTGTGTTGTTCTGAGGTACTTGTTTGCCCAGTCTTATAATCCCTTTCTTATTGGAAGAAATATTTTAATGTCAACTGAATGTTTTTATTTTTTTTAGGTTTCTAATCATATGAAAGAAAATGGCTTTTGATTATGCTAAAAGTACTGGGGTTTTACCAAGTTGGTGCCAAAATAAATGAGGTCTTTTTTTTCCAGACAGATTTTGATAAGCTTGGTGAAGTTTGGCTCATGAAGAGGACAGGTTGTGATTAGTGTTTTGTACACATTCTGGGGTTTTCAGCTTCTCAGCTCCACATACAAACCACTTCCTGTTTCTCATATTTTTGCAGTGATGTCATGGATTGTTGCTCAATCCCTCCCTGTGTGTGTGTGTTTTATAACTGGCTGCGTCTGGTACACTGCCCTGCTTACAAAACGTCTGTCTATCCCCTTCRTAGGTATGGCAAAATTGTGTCGACCAAGGCCATCCTGGACAAGGCCACAAATAAGTGTAAAGGTGTGTAAAGTTCTGTTTCTTTTGTATCGTTCCTCTGAAGTCCACTTGCAGTTAGAGAGATGTCCCAAATCGTTCTTGAGATCTGTGGTTTTAGCTGATCGGGCCGAATCAGGAAGCAGCCGTGCAGGCTGCTGTTATTTTAAGCCACAGCCCGCGTTTGTTTGTGTGTCACTCTTGGTAATGCTTCCTGGGAAGAAGTGCCCAACGTTTCCTCTTCCTGTTGAGTGACATGGCTGGTCACGGTTCAGTTCTAGTGGGCYGCCCTCCTCCTGACAAAGAGGGACTTACTGATTTTCTGCAGTGGTGATGAGATTAGGAGATTTCTTTGTCACTCACCTCGAGATTACACAGATGCCAGTTCATAAAAGACTCAGTGAAAGGGGGCACCCTTATAGACCCTGGAATGTGCTCACCGAACTTTTAAATAGACCTCCTAGGTGGCTTTAGGAGCAACCTTTTATGTGACCTTCAATTTAACAACATTCTCCATCCTTACTAAAGCTGYTGTTTTCAAGTATTTTAATCATTGCTAATGTTAGGGTTTATTTTGACCTCTATGTCTACTAAGAGAGCTCTGATGCATTAACATTAGCTAATTTTAAATAGGTTAAATTTAACAGCGCAGTAGAGACCAAAGTATAGATGCACCCTGTATGTACCCCACAGTACAAAGAGCTGACCTGAGCTGTCGGTTTCTGCATCCTCAGCTGTTTTTGCCTTGACTTTCGCCCACACATGCACAAACAAAGCACACGTACAGCTAAACTTTAGTATTTTAACACATAAAGCACATAAACACAGCACAGTGCTTCTATCACTGACTGTGCTACATGTTCCCTTTTAGGTTATGGTTTTGTGGATTTTGACAGCCCAGCCGCAGCTCAGAAGGCTGTGGCCGCCCTGAAGAGCAACGGTGTCCAAGCTCAGATGGCGAAGGTAAGGATTCATTACAGATTAATCTCGATATCAAATGCATGCTACAGGTCACACAGTAACACTGCCACCCTCCACCTGCTTGGGCAGGCCCTTTAAACTTAATCCTTGTAGATTTAAATAACAACAGAAAATCTTTGACTCAAAGAGTGCATTCTGCATAACTATTACTCTGTAAGCTCACTGGTGAGTCACAGAGTTGAATCATGAAGAAATGTGCTGTGTTGTGTAGATTTGTTCATGTTTTTCTCAGGAACTGTATCCATTTTGCATGTATGCTTTGCACCATATTTATTGAGAAACTGGCATCCGTTTCTTTACAAACTTCAGTAGGTTTATTGCAGCTGGCGTGTCTCAGTTTTCGTGTCAATCATTTAAGTGTTAGCAGCTCTGATTTCATTGATAATTGCTTTAAATAATGTTTCTGCAGTGAAAAGGTTGAATTCTAGAAAGTACTGGTTTACGTTCAGTCATTATGATCTAAATTTTAGGTTAATCAAAATTGATTTTGAAGTTAATCTGTAAACTTTAGACTGCTTTTAAATCACTTCACTGTATTAAGAGCACCTCCTACCTTCATCTGCTGCACACTTTAATTTATTTAACATTTAGATATGAAATACAGGTTTAGTTCATTACATTATTGCTGTCAAATTAATTGGTATATGGATTAAAAGATGGCATTGTCAAGGGGATTTCAAGGTGGTTTTTTTTAGTTGTTTCTTATAGAAAAGGAAGTAAATAATTGCATGATGTTATGGTAACAAGTGAGTTTGGGAGAGAAATTAGTCCCTTAGTGGCAGAAAGCAACATTCTGTAACCACATAAGTGATGYCCTCCTGCTGCTTTGTGTTTAGATTTAAAATACACAAGTTTGTTGTTTAATTGTTGAYGTAAAGTCTGTGCCTTTAACACTTCATTTTCATTGTTGAAAAAGCTTGTTTAGTCTTTTTTTCCTCTTTACCAAATCTGAAACCTTTAAGTTAGTCTTGCATTAGTGTTGATTACTGTGAATATTCTCATTTCATGGACTGATTTTTATACCAAGTTTAATCATGAAAGTCTTGACTAAGCATTAAAATATATATATATATTTGAACATTTCTTGTTTTTTTTTCTGATTATATTGTGTGAGCTAGATGGATGCTCAGCTGTACCACCAAAGGCCTAAAGTTAAAAAGTAAATAAAACAGGGCTGACTCTAAACACCAYAGCATCAATAAAAATCAGCGATAAATCTTCTCCTCAAAGACCAGTATCCATGTTTCATGTTTCTGTTGATGCTGTGAGAAATCAGCAGGAAGTCAGCTGAAAAAACCCTCCAGTCTCCATGAGCTGCACATTAATCTCTTCTTGTCACAGACWCCTTAAGACCTAAAACTGTGAACGGTTACAAATCTTTAGGATGAACAGAACGTTGAGGTCTCTTACAGGACGTCTAATAAATAAACTGGCATTTCTAGGTACAAATTATGTGGAAGTACCTTTTGTATTTTTGCACCTGTTTGAAACATATTCAACGCCAACATGAATGCGGCATGTTAGATAGATACTTTAGTATTTTCTAGGGCTTTTTCCAATACTTCCTGATGCGTGATTATTATATCTCAGTTTCATTTTCTTATTGTGCAGCAACAAGAACAAGACCCAACAAACTTGTACATCTCCAACTTACCTCTGTCTATGGATGAGCAGGAACTGGAGAGCATGCTAAAACGTTTCGGTCAAGTTATATCCACTCGCATCTTGAGAGACTCGGGTGGAATCAGCAGAGGAGTGGGCTTTGCAAGGTTGGATTTTTGTACTTTTTCTAGTCTCCTGTTAAACTTTACCATAAGAATCCCATAGATATGTTCAATATGTGACACAAGTGTGTGATTAAATTAAATAAATATCTGCAATGATTGCTTTCCTTGTTGACTTGCATGTTACAGTATGTTGTTTGCAGGAAATTTGTTAAGCTAAGCTAACATGTGGATGAATAGCTCAYAGCCAGGCCACATGGTTCTGGTGACCACTGACTAAAAGTTTGAGAAATAGTACGGACAAAGTACYTGTCAAGGACAGGTTTCATGCCTGACTTGCTCGAGGCGTCAGTCCATGAAAGATATGTGTTTGATGCACACGAGGAGGTGCATGTGACCTGTAATTTTCCAGTCTCGTGTACCAGAAGTACATGCCACAGTTGTGATGAGAGTATTTAGTCTGTGACCATCACTCCTGACTTACTTGTGATGCAATGTGGGTATAAAAAAAAGGCCCACAGTGTCTTTGCAGCACAGCTCAATGACACTAAGGAAGAAGGGATAAAAAGCAAAGTCGACTGCTCATCCAGAGAGGGAACAGCCTGAAACAGCAGAGGAGGAAAAGATAGAATATGAAAAATGATTATGGCAGCACGCCCTGCAAAGGACAGAGTGCTCACCAGATATAGGGTAGAATGTCACATATCCTTAAGACTTGAGGAGCCACTCAAAATTCAAATTTTGGGGTGCACAACATTAGTGATACAGTTGACTTGGTTCAGACATACGAGGAAGCATTTTCCATACTTAGTATATCAATTTTTGCGTTTTACTTGCAAGGCCCAAAATATTTGCATGTGCAGAACCAAAAGTCTCCATGGCCAGTTTGCAACTTTCTGCTAAACATGCAGGTTTTGAGCATGGTTTGGCTAAACCTTTCCCCAGACTGCCAGCAGGAGCTCAACCAGCTGAGAGTGACGTTTTAAACAGGAAGAGATGAGTGTAGTAGAAGCAATTTGTCGGGACACAAAGACAAGGAAGTCTCCTTTCCAACCGCTTGGGCACAATGATACTCAAAAGCATGTCTTACTGATGTAAATATAGATGTTTTAACAATACCACATTTGAGTCTGCTATTAAAGGCAATTATCAGTTATTCTAAAGAAAGGAATATGTGTATTTTTAGGTTGTCTATTAACAATAAGTCTGTCGATAGAAGAGAAGAAAAGTATGTCCTTTTGTGGACAGACAACTATGTTTAAAAAAATAGTTTCACAATGAGTTGAAGGTTTAATTATAGTTTGTAATGCTGGTTTGCAAGAGTTGTTCTTGTATAACCTGACATTTTACTGACCTGACTAACAAAGCCAAGACCATGACTGACGAAACAAAAATCCCTTTGCACCGTAGGAATGTTTTTATCTGGGCGTGCTCTGAAAGGTGTGTGTCTTTACCATTGTGCCCACATACAGTGTGTGGGCTCAATGGGAAAGACTATAAACTGATAACGCTGCACAACGTTCTGCATGCGCCGTATGGACGGGGTGATAAAATCGGTTTTATGGTGCTGCAGCTCTTCTTCAAGGAAGCAGGAACTGTTTGCTCTTGTTGCTGGAGTTATCACTGATGTGGCTACACTCTGTGTCTCTATTTATACCTGCAGGATGGAGTCAACTGAAAAATGTGAAGCAGTTATTTCTCAGTTTAATGGAAAGTTCATTAAAACACCTGCAGGTGTTCCAGGTAAGGATGTTTTCACACATAAATTTCATTATGTACTATAAAATGCAGCGTGATTAAAAATACACCTGAAAGGAATCAGGTTTTTTGTTTGTTTTGTATTTTTTGGCTATGATGGCTTTAGTTTGAGCTCTCCTAATRGGTGGAGTTGTATCAGTGGGATAAAGTGGTTGTCCAGGTGATTAATGCATCCAACAGGAGTCAGTGAGTCTGGTGGTGAAGAGATCGTATGCACTCAGCCCGAAGTGGCAGAGCAAAGACAAAGGCACTGAGAGAAAGCAGCCCAGTGCAGCCTCCACTCCCTCTCTAAGCTTTTTAATTGGATTATCAGACTGAAATAGTCTCTGCTGGCCTTGCCTCCTTTAGAAAGGGGAGAGGATTAAAGCGCCACAGCTGTCAAAATGCAGGTCCCTGTTCCCCGGCTGGTTAATATATCTGTGCTCTCTTGCTTCATAGCCTAACAGACACACCACAATGCACATGTGACGATGCTATTTAATTTTGTTTGCTCTCGATCTCCCTCCCTAGCACCATCCGAACCATTGTTGTGCAAGTTTGCTGATGGCGGGCAGAAAAAGAGACAAAGTCAAAATAAATTTGGCCAGAATGGTCGCGGCTGGGCGAGGGACGGTGACTCCCGACTGGTAAGTAATCCTCCAGGCTGGAGAGAGAAACTGAGCTGCAAACTGCAGCTTTTAACAGGCAACAAGAGACAAACCTCAAGTCTTAATACACTGTTATAAATAACAGAAAAAAGGAAGAGAAACTATTTTGAAGCAGTCTCCGAGACACAAGGGACTTAAGCAGGGTTCCCGCAGATCCTTAAAGTCTAAAAAGGCCTTGAATTCATCAATCCAAAAATAAGGCCTTAGTTAGCCTTAAAAGGTCTTAAATAATCTTTAGAAGTGTTAAAAATGTTAACACATTGTACATAGAATGACTGTAATTTGCATCAAATATTAAAATAAGTGGTAACATTTATTTGTTTTTGAAATATTCCCATTCAGATATTCCCTTTTAACATCACTTCCTGTTATTTCACATGCAAATATCAACAACCATCCACCTGAGCAATGTGAAATTTGTTTTATAATATGTTAATAATGTTGTCTTTCCAAAAATGCATTCATATTTCTTACAAACATTTCATGTCACATACATTTTAAGGTTTCATCTACAGTAAGCTGGGGTTGAGAACCCACTGTGGGTCCTAAAACTCCAAATTTTGGAGAAAAATGAGAAATTAAATTAAGTTTAAAACTGACTGCAAAGAATGTTTTTTTTTTGCTATATTTGACAAAATAGCAATCAGACATGGGTAAAAACAATTGGTCTATTAGCAATATTTGAATAATTCAACCAAAAATACTTTGATTCATGAGTTTCTGCCACAGTTTTATTTTATTTGTCATTTGTGTTTATTGAGGAATTTGTCTTAAATTTGATTTCACTTGGCATTAAAAAGTCTTAAATTTAACTTGCCTTAAACTGTAGAAACCCTGTTAAGGCCCTGTCACACTATGACGTTTTAGACGACTTAGAAAAATTTTGTCGGACTTTGAAGATTTCTTGACTGAAGATGCAAGAAAAAAATCAGCTGGAAGCTTCATTTAGACGTATACATACTGAAATGCTAACGATTAGATCAAATACAAAACATAAATTAGTGATTTAGCYAGAGCTGGGCGGTATGACCCAAATTTTATAACACAGTATTTTCAACAGCTACACCAGTTACACGGTATTTGACGGTATTTATTTTTCCTCACAGCTCAGCTGATAATAAAATGTACAAACTTTGCTTATTGACTTTTTTCTTTTACTGGACCTCTGTATCACTGTTTCTCTTCACTTCTACGTCTTTTCTTCTTTGCCTGGTTGTAGACAGTAATCATGCATTTAGGTCCGATCGTGAAGGGTTGAGAAAAAATCATTATCTGGTCTATTGTTGCGTGTTAATAAAACTTAAAAGGCCGACTCACTTTGCACACCAGTCTACTCCCCTACATTACAAAACTACTTCCCCCCGGGCTTTTCACAATAGAAGCACGCTAGAATCTCCATGCAATAACGTCTCCATTATAATGTAACGCGTTAAAACTAACTGTGCACGTCACTGAAGAGTTGTTTACTATTCAGCGATGGTGAAAATGGGATGTTTTTTTTTTACGTCAGACCACATAAGCGGCTGAAACACACCACCCGCCGCCAGTTGTTCCAACAATAATGTTAGCATGCTAATGCGCTTAGCGGTGCTGCAAGGAAACGTGTCCCCAGGGAAACAGTTCACTGGCGGCCACAGCGAAACATTTCGCACGTGTTCAGGCTATTTACACCGGTATTCAGAAAAGTCATATCATAACAAAAATAAAAACCGTTTTTTGGTACAAAACGGTATACCGCCCAGCACTAGATTTAGCCTAATTTAGTGAAAAAATTTCACAAGTTGGCACAAATGTTATAGCATGACAGGGCCTTTACAGAAAACAATTATTTTTAGTTCATTCACAAAAATTTTCCAATGAACGGTTGTTTTAATGTGTGTAAAACATACTGCATGATGGTAATAAACACAACGTAATCAGTCAGAGTTGCACTGTTCATTTAGCTTCTGKTTAATGTGTTCTGGCTCTGAAAACAACGTTGAGCCTCAGGTTCTACTCTCTTGTCTGCAGGATTAAACAAAGTTAAATGAACATATGTAATATGTAAATAAAMATGTTACATACTGCAAACACATGTTTACTTTATTCAGTTTGAGAAATTGAAACTTCTGTCTTCTTTTCTGACTTTATTGTGTGAACTGGTAGCATTTGGACTTTTCTTTAGTAGTGGTGCTTTATGCTATAAATATCTCATTATCTGTCTGAAACCTTTTTTATTTATGTTTTTGTAACTTTGTATTTATCTGTGAAGCCAAGACTAAACAGGCTCCTCTCAGTTTATTTGACTGCAGTCAGCAGTAAGGAGGATAAACATGTTTGTGTGTGTGTGTGTGTGTATCCCAGGCTGGAATGACCCTGACATATGACCCCAGTACAGCTGCTATGCAAAATGGGTAAACTTAATCAATTCATAACAGTTGCTCTGCTGTTGTTCATGAYGTACGTCTCACATTTCATTTTCTGAAAACGCTCCAAATTCTGTGCTTCCAGGTTTTTTCCTGCACCCTATAGTATTTCTAGCAGGATGATCACTCAAACGTCCTTGTCTCCGTACATGTCTCCAGTTTCAGCATATCAGGTTTGAATCCGTCTCTTCAATAGACTGTATATTGTTGTGCATTGTTCACAGCAGCATGTGACGCTGCGCAGCGACGATGTATTTTTTTTTTACAGACTTTGTTTGTTGATGTTCCAGGTGCAGAACCCTTCCTGGGTGCCTCATCAACCCTACATCATGCAGCATCCGGTAAAGGCAACATCTAATCTTTTCCCTCTTTACTATTATTCCTCCTAAATATTTCCCTCTGTGATTGCAACAGAACTGAACCATTTTCCTGTAAACAGACATACTCAGTATGGATGGTATATGCATAAGGTGAAACTAAAGGACTCAACCGTCTGTGCGGGAATGTAAAAACAACTCTTTATAGATGAGTGCCTGTAATGACAGATGCTTAATATTTTATAGCAGATGGCTCTAAATTGAGAGAGGAGCCTTTTGTGTTTGGAAATGAGCCATTAGATGAGGAAACACTGCCGGATGCAGCAGGCCAGCCAAGATGCTCATAGACAGCTTGCTTGACGGTTGACTTTAGATTACTCAGGTTATGTTCGCCTGATGTTCAGTCCCACAAAAATGGACTTTATTTCAAACCAAGATATAATGAATTTCATGTTTTTCAGGAAATAATATTTTTTCTTTAAAGATAAATATTTCTTTGTGGAGATTTGAGACTTTTGTTTCAAAACCAGCAAATATGATTCTCTCCTCTGTTTGTCCTTAAAGGGTGCAGTACTATCGCCCTCTATGGACCCATCTGTGTCACTGCAGCCTGCTTCCATGATGGCCCCTTTGGCTCAGCAGATGAGTCACCTCACTCTGGGTGGTGCAGGAACGGTGAGAGAACTTTGCATACTATCGGGAACCAACTTGCTGATTATGTCCTATTAATAATAATAAAATTTGTTTGTAAACTTTAAATCTTATTAACCGTGGATATAATCTGCATGTTTTTGTTTGTTCTTGCAGTTTATGGCTGCCAACACAGCTTTGCAAGGAGCTTATATCCCACAGTACGCACACATGCAGACAGCAGCGGTTCCTGTGGAGGTGAGCTGCTTTGTGTGTGTAAAACCTTTATTTTTATTTCAAATAAAAGCTTGACAAAGATTTTACGTTATGCTTTCGTTCCAGGAAAATGGCGTACAGTCGCAACTAGACTCATCTGGCAATCATTCCCCTTATTCCTACCCACAAAGCAAGTAGTGCCGAGGTAACAACTGGACAATCATGTCTACAAATCCAGTGGACGCTAAGGAACCTTTACTGTTTTTATGTTTGTTTGTTTGTTTGTTTGTTTTCTTTGCAAGTTCTGCAAATGTTTGAGACTTTTCCTGGCCTGTTGTTCAGAGAGTTCATCAGATGACACACATCCTATTTAAAAAAAAAAGTTTTATTTTCATACTAGAAAATGTTTTATAAAAAAAGGTTTGCCACAGGATACAAGGAAAAAACATGACTAATTGTAAATATGTCTCCTTTTTTATTTTTTTTATTTTATTTTATTTTTTAGCCCAACATTTTGAAAGTGTGTGTGTGTGTTACTATGGTGAAGTAGTGCTGATTTCCTGTAAAGTGATTTTTTTTCTCTCTTTGAATTTCAGAATGATCTTGCTGTCTGAGTAAAATCCTCCTTAATGTTTTAATGCAGCAGTTTAGTGCCGACCTCCACAGAGCAAAGATGAACAGTGAATACCAGGAGATCCACAACATAGGATTTTAAAAAGTTGAAAAATAAAATCTGTTTTCTTTATTCTCAAGACTAAAAAAAAAGATGTATTTCTTTAACAACTGGTTTTAATTTTTGGAATTAAATATTTATTTAGGTAAAGACTTTAGATTTTGTGGACGTTGAAATGAGTCTGAACTTTTTTACGAGATCAAATTTTCAATCTTGCCTTTTAGAAATCGTAGAATTTTAGAATATTTTTAATTAAACCTTGTGGGGGAAGAAGATTTATTTTCTATTTTTTGATTTTTCATTTGGGGTGACGTTCATTCTTTTAATAGGATACGTTAAAAACAAAAGTGGTAAAAAGAACTAAAGACACAAAAAACAGTTCTAGGTAAAAATTTGTAAATGTTTTATTTTGCCTCATTTTTTACCAGGAAACAAACCTTCTTTACCAAATATTAGAATTGTCACCATTTTACACTTTAACCAGGATGGTAGTAAATCTGCAAACTATTTCAGTTTGGACAGTGTGCCTTTTTGTTTTGTTTTGTTTTGTTTTATTTTGTATATTGCAAACATAAAGAAGGACTAAACAAGTGCCGCTTTCATAATATTTAAAATTTCACATTGAAGGTGAATGGAGATGGGAGACATATTAAAAATTGTCAAAGAAAAGAGCAATTTAAAACGCTATTCTGTTTAAATTAATTATTTAGATTACAAAAAAATCCAGCTCTAACAGCATGTCCTCCCATAAGCTCGTGATTCATCCTGGTCTGCGGTCAGATCACTTATCTACCTCAGAGTTTTCTCTTTCTCCTCCATATTGGGTCGGGTTAGCAGGTCCAGCCCACCCCCCACTTTCAGACCAAATACCACACTCAGGAGCTGGCCACATACCATTTACTCATTTCCAGTTGTGTTTCATCGCCTCTTTTTTTGAACAGGAGATTCAAGAGGCAGATTTAAATTTAAGACCTACAAGATCAACCAAGCTATGTGGTTTTGTAAAAATGTTTTTGATTTTTGTATTGGATTGGTATAAATGAGCCTGTTCTGATCAGTTTCCTGGGATGTGCAGGAAACGCAGCGGCTGCCATGATTATACTTGAGATTTTCTTGTAAATGCCTGAGACTGACGAGTAATACTGTCATTGTGAGGTTTATGCTGCTAAGTGGTGTCTGAACTAAGTGCCATAGTGYGGGTCAAGAGCTAACGAGGTGCTTAAATGAAAAGCGGCTCCTAAAAATAACCACCACGTAGAACATTCAGTAAGTTATGTGACAATGTTCTAATTTATGAAGATTTTTGTTCCATTAGCTTGAGGAAGAACTATGGAAGTTACTTTTTTTTTTAATGTGTGCCACTTTTGCAAAAGGCAACTTGTATGTACAGTTCAAGGAACCTCTTCCACTCTGTTTTTTTTTTATTTTGGTTTTTATAGTTTGTTCTAAAGCTCAATTTTTTTTTTCTCTGAGCAGATTGTTGCCAAAGGTTTATTCTGTTGATTTCTTTCATATTTTTTGAATAAAAAACAAAACATGTGTTTTTATTTGGTGTGATTTTAGTCTTTACTAAGTATCGAAAATATTTTAATTCTGATCTCCCCCCCCCCTTTACAAGTAGTTGTTGAGGAAAAAGCTTAATGTTACTAATACTTGGCTGCAGTTTCAGAGGGYTGAAATTCAAAGCTGTCTCTCGCTTTGTTTCTCACATTTAGTTGGTGTTTTTCATTTTAAAAAAGCTGTCCTAAAACTGAAAAAAGGAGGTTTAAATTAAAAATGGGCTCTTAAAACATTTGGCATAATTTTTTCTAGATGTGCAAATGCAAACATGTTTAAAATAACACATGAAAATATTTTTATGGTGCAGTTTTAACGTTTTAAATCAGACTTTTACTTTGTTAACCTGAAAGCAGTCTTCATCAGTGTGACCTTTGCCCTTTGTTCTACAGCCTGAGACATTTCCATTCAGATAATTTAAGATGATATTCCTTTCACTTCGTTGTAATGTGTCAAAATTCTTGTGTAAAATGAGAGTTAGGACGTGCTAAATCAACTAAATAGTTTTCCAAATATCACAGAGGTAGTTGATGTTACACCCAGATATCACGACAAAAGACTCAGCAAAGTGTTGAGCTGCTTTGTTCTGTTGAAACAGGCTCCCAATGTTTATCAGCGACTTTGCTTTCAACCCAGAAGGTCAAAGTACTATATCAACACGGTCACATGGTATCGCTGACAACATTCATGGCCTGGACAGGGTGGGTTTGGGTATCAGAGGGTACGGTGTGGGGCGAGAGCATGGGGACGCTTTAATTGCTCGGATGTAGCCGTCTGTGAGCAGGCCTCTCCAAGGCAGATGGGTCCCCCCCCACCACCCCACAGTACCCTGCAGAGTGTTGTGCCACCCTACGGGACGCCACAAGCTCCAGACGAGGAGCAAAACTCGCGCTCCAGCTGTCTGTGTTTGTGCCACATGCGCCTACAAACAAGTAGAGTTAAAGTCTTCATTTCCCCCTTTAATAACAGCCTTTTCCTACCAGGTTTGCTGCAGTTTAAGGCCTTCATGCCCTTTTTCTTCAACTTATGTGTGGGAAACTGCTTCTATTCCATTTTTGATTACTTTTATTCAGGAAGTACTGTTCTACTGTTACATAAACTTGGTGGTTTTATGGAGTAAAATGTTTCAAAGCACATACACAGTGTTAAACATACAGCACTTAGTTAAAATGTATTGAGTAGCTAAAAACTAAAACTGACTGATGTTGACTAATAGCTAAAATTAACCGAACATGAGATGGATCCTAAGACAGGCAAATCAGTAGCTAAACCACAACTAGAGCAATCAGTGGCTAAAAGTAAGCTCAATTATATTTTGCATAGAAATAATGCACTCCTATTGTATAGTTTTCCTGTTTATGATGGCCAATGTTTATTGGATTAACTACRGTACTTCAATATGCCATACTTTCAACTATTTGATATTTTCATATCTGTTTATCTCAGTAATGCGGACGCTTATGTCAGCCAGTTTAGATTTTTGTAACTTTTAAACTTTAGTGTATTTTTTACTTAATAAATTTAATCATTTAATTGCAAGAACTCCCCAAATCCTTGAAAAACATTGTAATATACATGAGCATATTCGCTTAATTTTCTGGTTTTTTTTGTTTTTAATTTTTATTTTTTTTACTGTGGTTTTACTAATATAATTTTAGCTGTGATTTGTCTGTTTTAGCCTTTAGGTACTGTTTTGCTTATTTCAGTTTTCAGCTACTGATTTTCAAGGTTTTTGCTTAGGCATTGTTAATTTTATATATTACTTAATGCTCACCTTACAGCTTTTAGCTACTGTTGTTGTTTCATTATAATTTTAGCTACTGTTTTCCAGTTTGGCTTTTAGGTACTATTTTGTTGCTCATTTGTCAGCCTTAGCTTTTAGTTATTGTCTTGTTAATTTCATAATTTATATACTGTTTTTTTCTTCCAGGTTTGGCTTTTATTTACTGTTTTGCACTTTTGACAATTAGCTATAGGCTATGTTGTTAATTTCATTTTTTTAGCTACTGATTTCCCCCAGTTTTGGGAAAAGAAGCAAGACATCAGAATAGGAAAATGTGAACAAAACCACTGCAAGCTGAACATTAAGGTGTTAAACAGCGCCATCTACAGATCAGATAATGTGTGCAAATCATATCAAAATCTGCTGGTAATTAAAAATGACATCAATGAACAAGTTTCCTAACACCTTTCCTGAAAGTTGYACGCATTTGTCCTAATAGTCCTTTAGTATATTGACAATGAGAGTCGCAGTTGATAATGTTTCGTTGCACTTTTTATGTCTCCTTCCCCAAAAAATAAAAGCTTTATTTCAGCATGGGTTTAATCTGTGGACGAAGGCTACGATGCGTTCAGGCCTTGTTTTACCGCTTGCTGCGCCGCGTTAAAGCGGTGGGTGGGGATTTCGCTCACTGTTCGTGAGTCGGCAGGAAGAAAAGCAACAGCAGTCTGACAGAAAACCAATTCCTGAACTCGAAGCTGTCATGGAGCTGCGAAGGAAAAGTCTGCAGCTCGTAACGAGCTGTGTTTTCGCCCTGTGTGTCGGTTTGCAGGCGGTATGTGCGGGAGGTAAGACTGACAAATGTTTACTGCTATACTAATCTCATTATTCTTGTTATTATTACTGTTATTAATAATTATTCTTTTGAGGACGTCGTGTTTGCTCGACTTAAAACCGAGTAGGCCTCTTTGTTGTCCTGAACTTTGTGCTTTGAATGTTTGTGTTGAAGGTAAACCTGTCCGTGAACGCAACACGAGACAACTTCAGAGCGTGCGTTTTGTTCGTGTAAAAACTCTCGCCCTTTTGTTGGGAAACACTGAAGCAATATTAGTGATAGGGTCTACCAATATGTCTTCGTTAATAAAGTTAAAGAATATACTCAAAGGGAACCGGCTGTTTAAAGTTATGCAACACTGGGAAAAGGGAACTGCGGTCACAAGGAGTTGAATCTGACATGTGAAAGCTTTGTAAAATTGTTATTGCCTGTTTTATTCTTACGCTTTGACTGTAAAATTAAGATATTGATCCGAACCTTTACTACAGTAACACTGAGTTAAAACACGTTGTAATAAATCAACTCTAATCTGTTTATATATATA